ATGTCAATCGCACGGTCTATTTCTGTTCAACAAAATGGATGTAAAATGTGGTTGATTTATATGTAGGTGGTAAAATATAGTCGCTTCATTTTGTCGAGCTGTAAATAAATTTTCCCATTTCCGGCATCGGATTTCCATTTTCAGTTGACTATTAGAACTGTGGGCTGAACAAAATTTTAACACTCACATTAAATATGTATTTGATTTTAATCTAGTTTTATTTCGATATGAGCACAAAGCTGTGACGATTCACAGTGTGCTGCGTAGCAGAGGAATGACATCTTTTGTATGAGTGTGTGTATTTGTATATTCGGAGCATTTACCGGAAAATTCGCAGAATGATTCGATTAATTTTGCAATTCAATCTCACTCTCTCTCGCTGCTCAAAAGTAATTTCGCACGAAACAAATCGAAAAATGAGAAAAGTTCATTAAATTCAAACTCCCAGTAACATGTCCCATTTTATATGTAGTAATTGAAAAGTGGAACTGGTTCGTCATTTGTCGAAATGCAAACAACACTCGCCGGAGTTCAAGTTGTTTCATTTTGATTAGAGTGCCCATTGAAGCAATTGCAAAAAAAAACTGTTCAAGCACTGATGCGTATGACACAGTTGACATTAATTGAGAAAAGAGCTGACTTTGATACTTCAATGATGGTTGATTGAAACAAAAAAAAAGACACGAATGAAGGGGAAAATAGTGCTGCATCAAGTTGTGAGAAAAGCCGTTGATGTTTGTCGACTTTCACTTAACCCCTTTTTGATTTTTTTCTGTACACAAGTGATGGGAATTTTCCTGTTTACCACAAAAGCGCCGCACGATCCCAAATGTGAATATCCGCAGATGAAAACCACCACCACATCAGTGACAGTTCAATTAAAATCGATTTTAGCCTTTGCTGCACATGAACTAGCTCATAAATCATTTTTCTGCGGTCGGATGGCACATAGGGGTATTGCAACTACCATAAAATATATGTATTTCATCAAGTTTATCAAGCTCTTTCCAAGTTTATGCATAGTGTTGAACTTTTGTTCAAGCTCTACCATCGAAATGTACAGTAAAATAATTTACGGGCACGACGTAAGATGGCGTTTTTTCTGGTCAAAAAAGTTGCAATATCCCTTTGGGATGGCATATCAGAGAGAGAGAGAGAGAAAGAGAGAGTGTGCTTGAGTTCAATGCATGTTGATTCTATTTCCATGGGATCGAGTTCAATGTACAGGTACACACCGATTCCTGGTGCTGCCTTCGTTTTTATTGCTTTAATTATTCAGAGAGACGCGCGCGTTCTCCGCAACGCCGATATGATCTACTTCATATTGAATTCTCCATTACTGTGCCATACAAAGTATAGGTACTATTAGTACGTACTAGTATTTATGCTCCATCATCCGTTGCGAATCGTAAAAGTTTCAAATTAAATTTAATCCTCACCCGTAAGAATTGACACAGACATGAGATCAAACACAAGCCTATCACAACAAAAGCAGCACAAATACACTCGATGCTTGATAAAAACCTGAACCGGTACGCTATATCAGGGCTCAAATTGTGAAACAGAGTCGCACAAGAGTAAACAATTTGGTTCCATTGAAAAGCTGGATTTATCTTCAGGCTTCATTCTGTGACAAAGGAAATTCATAAATTATTTTGATTTTCAGTTCCAAAAATGACGTTTAAAGGCTTTTTTCGGAACGGATTTCCTCAAACAATGTCAGATTTGGGATCCATTAGAACGTAATAACATCATGGTGCGGCTGTTGACACTATATTTTCCTATATTTCGAATTGGCGCGCTGTGTAGTTCCGATTTGAAATGTTAAATTACATTGATGTGCCCTTTGAAATTGGGGGCGCTCGCGTCGCCTCAAATGACTTTGACGTTCAACAGCCGCCACACTTTTACAACTTTGTTGTTTTGTTGCCTGTGATAAGTTGACAAAGAGCTGCGTAAAACAGGGCATAAGCATATAAAGTAAATATTATTCAGAAAATAATACCCACAATCACAGCACAGCGTCTGACATGCGTATATCTGAGTATGGTGTTTCCCATTTGAATTAATTTTCCATCGAAATGATAATAAATTCATGTTTCCAGGCTCCATTGCTGTAATCGTCGTCGTCGTCGTCGTTATTACAAGGACATTGTAGGCATTAGCACAGGCAAAACGTTCAAGAACCACCACGTCACCACCATAACAATGCCATAATTACCGTTTCTGCATATAAGCTTGGAACACACCATTTTTCGATTATTATAACACAAATGAAACAATTTCCAGTTTTGGTATTATGTTTCATGTCAATGTCGACAACAGTAGTGTGCTCACCACAGTTCAGCTGTAATGCACGTATGCGGTACATTATTTTTTCATTTTTGTTTCGAGGAAAGAAGTTTTAAACACACTCAATCATGTTTTTTTATTCTCTCTTTCGCTCTCATGCCGCAATTTCCACATTTTAATATCCTGATTTGTCTGGATGTTGAACATAGTAATCGTTATCATTTAAAAACTTCAAATCGCATGCCGCATAAGCCGCAGCTTCCAGCAACAAAAGAAGAAAGTTCTCTTCGTTTCGTGTAATATTTTCCAAAAGATTTACTTCGGCATCGACATCCAGTTTTGCTTGAGAAAAGCTTTTAGTGAGATGGGAGTAAATGAACGCTTTTTTTCTCCATTTTCATGATAAATTACGCTCGAGGAAAAAAATATCCATAATATTGGGATATATTTCTCCACAACAATGAATGCAATTGGTTGGCATAGCCAGTGTAATTGTGATGTTGATTATGAGCTTCCTGTTGTGCATTTGATTACCATTGACTCAAACAATGCGAATGAATTGAAACCAAAGAAAAATTCATTTTTTCCAGTTTCATCCACACTCGCATCAATGTTCGAAAAGGGCAAGCCTGTGGCGTGCAATTTTTTCTCTGCTCCTGCAGTTACCCTGGGCATCGGCTAAATGATCATGTATTTTCAGTGGGGCATAAATTTCGCCATTTCCCTTTCAATTTTCACATTTCCACACATCCAAGCATCCAGTTTCATAGTTCCACACCGCATCGTACTCGCATCGTTAATGCCACTGAACATGAGTTTTATTAGTGTACGGTTTTCCAAAGGATAACACCCAGTTCCACAATAATTTTTGCGGCTTTTATTAATTGGAATAGGAACATCGCGTTTGGGTAATAAAACTGACCATTCTAAATTAGCGTTGTCATCGAAAAACCAGTACAAATACAAACATACACAAACAAATAAACGCGTTTGGGTAATAAAACCGACCATTCTAAATTAGCGTTTTCATCGAAAAACCAGTACAAATACAAATATACACAAAAAAATAAACGATATGGATTCGATTGGCTGTTTATTATTTAGTGCCATACGATATTGCTCTGGACATGTGTAGCCGTTTTTAATGGGAAATTAAAAAAAAACCGTTTTTTTGTTCGAATTTCTGTTTCTGTACCATATTAATGAATTGAATGTGAGTTCCTTTTTCCTAAATTACACACATTAGAATTGTTGTGCTACTGCTCTTTTCTCTCTCTCTATCTCCCTCTTTTTATCGCTCTCTTTCGGTGCGACCATAATTACATTTGCTTTATGGGCTTTTTGCATAGTAAAAAACCGTCTTCCTAATGGAACATTTTCTCGGTATAATCATTTGAACCGAGGCAACATTTTCTCGCGCTTCAAATAACCTATTCAAGCGCAACGACGCCCGCTCTCTGCCACTACCGTTACCGTTGCCAGTGCCACCGTTGTCGCTGTTGCAATGTTTGAATGCAAGTGTGAATGGAAAGCAAATTGCATAATATGCATTAAGTTTAATGGGCTGAAAATTGTTGGAAGTCGTGCAAGTGGTGCACAAACAATAACAAGCGTCGATGGGAAACAAGTGCATATAAGTTATGGCATGTCATAAAAATGAATGAACCAAAAGAGTGTATGCAATAAACTCATTTGCTTTTACCTCTTTCTCTGCCATCCCGGCCTTCCGAGCAATTCGCAGTGAATTGCATTCCATTTCCGTTATTTATTTTGCACCGTTCTCTTTCTTGTCGATAACGTTTAATGATTGTACATGTATCCCATGTCAAGATTTAAATGTCGCGCGCACGCTCGTTTACTCGCTCAAAGACGATTTCACCGAAAAGCGCTCGTAAATTATTGCACCTACAGCAAAATTAGAACGAATATTTATTCACAAATGAATTAAATCAATAAATCGCAGCTGAATACACATTGCATGTATGAGCTAGTGTCGACTAGTAGCAGAACATGTTTAATGAACCGATGTCAAGTGGCAGCTCGATGAATATTCACTGCAAAGTCAAAAATCGATGCGGTTACAGTTCAGCAATCACATACACCACGTATCTTCCCACACTCAATTGTACACATCAGCGATATTAATGCAACACATATACATGCACACCCGAATGCATGGGTAGGTCGATAAATTGAAAATTCGAAAGAGAGAGAGAGAGAGAGAGAGAGAGAGAGCAAAGGAACCTCGTACTCTAAATAGCTTATTGCTTGCCATTTGCATTAAATGGCATTATAGTGGTGCGACCGGCGAGAGAGAGAGAGAGAGAGAGAGAGATGTTCAATGCGTAGGTTGTGGTCGACGTCATACCGATCATAATTGATTGAATTGTGACCGAAAATGACTTAACCACCGAAACTTATGCACACCAACCATCATTTGCAACCGAAACGCACCAGCCACGGGAACAAACACTACGTTCCGCTGGTAGAACGATATACAGAATTGTTGCTAGCGAAAGAACAAAATTGGGAGTAAAAGCATGAAAACGGTAGAAAGGAACAAAGGAGAAAGGTGGAAAATGGAATGGAAGAAAAGAAGAGCGGAAGTGAAAAATCAATTTTTATATTCATAAGCTAGTTTTATTGATTCAATTTTCCAGCTTTTATTGGAAAAAACTAATGGTTTCATAATTTTTTTGCTTTTTCAGATAAAATCCCGAGCCACAGCACAACGCAAAACTCTAACGGATTGGCGATAAAATATGCTTCGAGTATGCAAATTTAAATCAACAAAAAAGACGATATAATCAAAATCGCAACGACTAGTTAAGCGTTATACGAGCCCAATGCGCAGTAAAACAAAATCTCACTTGAATCTCGCACGTTCATCAGATCGAAAGCCCTAAAGCTAAAAAATAAACGAAAAAAATCGATGAATCGTCAAACATTTCAAAGCTATTCATAGTTACTGCACTCGAATCAAACTGCCAACAGCTTTATGTGCTCGGTGAAACTTGCCCATCTCACCATCTAAATGAAAATATATCGAAAATGTGATAGAGTTTTAAGTTTAAAAAAAAAGTTATTTGAGAATCTACTGATCAATGTAAGCAGTTTTATCGCTTTTAGAAACAGTAATTTAGTTTACAGAGAATATTATCTGCTCTGGGAATTGCCCCAGATTTTTTTTTATGAATTTAACGTTCAAAGTAATTTGCTCATTTTTCTCTTTCTTTTTTTTTTTCTCTCATTTTTCATTTTTCAATTTTTTACCGTATTCACTAAACCATCTTTTGCTTTCTCTCCAATTCTTCCCCATACAGAACAATCTACTTTTACACTGAACCCAACGGTGTTCAAATTAACCACACATACACTACATTTTCTAATAAAGAATCCATACGATTGAATGAACGGTGTTCAAAATGGTTGACTGTAATGTGAATCAACCGATGATAAACGATAAGGAAAAGGAGAGTACAGTGAATATGGACATAATACTGCCAATCGCATCAATATCAACAACAGCACCAAATCTACAGATATCAGTATCGCAACAATCACCCCGATCATCGCCACCAGTTCTATTGGACAACTTTAAAAATGAAAACACAACGTAAGTGCATATGCACCTAGAAACAAAAGTGCAACCGTTCACACGAATACACGTCCAACAAACACACAGATAACACATTTGCGATTGTGATATGTCAATCGTGTGATATGTATGAATAGGTGTGATAGAATAAAAGTGAAGAAGAGAATAAAATGGGTCAAAATAGTTAAGGATGTCAGAAGTTCAATTAATATTCAACTCAATTAGTTTGTGCACGCTCATGAGTGCGTCGCTTGCAACTGGTCGTTTATGAGAAGCCCCATTCCATATTTCCATCGCAATCGTTTACACAATAATTGATTTTATATCAAATAATTGGAATGGTTAATTGTTGCTAATATTTGTACAGAACATGAATGGCTGTTCCATCAAAGTGATCAGCCATTTGCGTGATATTCGCGATTGAATTCGACTTATCGAATCATCTAGAGAGTGAAAAAAGCGTCACTTGTCTAGATTGTGTGAATAAACTGGTGACATGACTGGCGAGTCATGCTGATAGAGTCGCAATGCGTGTAGAAGACGATTACTCGCTTAATTGTGCGATGGCGGCGGTGTTTTCATTCATTTCTTCGTTTCACTCAATGTCACATACAATCCACATCACACAGTAAAAATCGAAATAGCGAAGCGAACACTTAATGAAAATTTATCGTGCAGACAACGAAATTATATCCATTTATCTAGTCGGTTTTGATACTAGGACTTAAGTTCTCTCTGTCAGCTTTTTTTCGCACTTTACTCATTGCTCGCTTTGTTTTTTCGCTTGCGAATTAATTCACGATAAAAAGCAATTATCATGTGTTCTTCAACATCACAGCGGATTTTTGTGTTGTTTGGCCTTGACAATGAAATGGGCACAAAATGTGACAATCTTGCAAAACACTCGACCGTTCGTCGGCTTCCATAGTTGACTATGCGTCGCTAACAATAATACAATCAAAAGCTTAATCATTTTTGTTTGATAGTGGGCAACGTCACTGCCACCGCCGTCGGTACACACTCACCTTTTGTTCAGAATTTGCGCAATACATAATTTACCATTCAAGCCCGTCATTCACATTTTTCTTTGTAATAAAGCCATTAGAAAATTGAAAATGGCATAAGGCTAAACTACGTGTTGGGCGCAGCAGTTTTAATCTCCAGCACAATGTCATGGTTTGTGCAATGAAAAATGACATGTTCAACACAACAAAAAATCACATACTCTCATCGCAAGCACCTGATAGCATCTCAAAAATAATTTTCTCTCCATTTCGCAGTTGATAGCTGACACTTTTCAGTCTCGTCCTCGAAACGACCGCAAACAGCAAGAGGGAAATATGTGTCCAAACCAAACCAGATGATAATCATTCATGGTCGAATTTTGCTTGTCATGGCACTACGAAAACTAGCAACAAAAACCATAGTCGACAGCAAAAGTTATCGAAATGTCCACAATATTTCAATTTTAATTTAAAAAAAAAAACCGAAAATTGGCGCTACTGATTTTTACCAAGCGAACAATTAAAATTGCATGCAATAGAGCAAACATCCGAGAAAAAGTAAATTTCCAACGAATTTGATTGAACACATTTTACGTCCTTTTCCGTTAGCGCTCTGTTTCATTTTTTTTTCTGCGCCACTTCCGCTTCCAAGTATAAATATAGTCTTTATGAGCTTCGAAAAGCGAACATTTCTTATTGCTCCATTCCTCGAGTTTACTAGGGTTTCAATGGTTCAGCTCATTTACCATTCTTTCAGTATACTTCGTTCAAAGTTTTGTGCTGAATTTGATTGATTCTTCGAAAATGGTTTCTCTACGACTATGAAACAAGGAAATATGAAAAAAAAACATCCCCACTTTGCGCACAATTTCTTCTTTTTCTTTTCAATTTCGTTTTCCTTGATGTAGGGTTGCGTCGGAGAACAAACGATTTGAATGGTTCAAGAAGAAGTCGTTCAATTTCAAAAGACATTTAACAGGTCGACGATGTTTATGTTTAGCAAAAACGTGCCTTTGAATCCAAAGCTTTGGTTGAAAAATTAATAAGAGTATGTTGAAGGAAAATTCCTCATGAAAGTACATCTACTGCCATCGCACCATCATCAAATGGTGGTCACCATAAAAAAATCCGATGTCAATATAAATTTCTCTCTTACGTTCCATAAAAATCAATAACCTGAAAAGAAAAATCACATAATCAAGTCGAATTCCACAAAATGAATATCCTATGTGGATGTGTGTGTGTGTTTCTTTCCGCTTCAAGAATTTATACCGTTGGTTTTTTTCATGGTAACTGCTTTCGCATTGGCAAAAATGGTGGCACTCCTGTCGTGCAGACAAAACATACGTGTGTGCCGAAAACGTGGAATATAAATTCACCCAATTTTCACGTGTAAAAATGTTATGTTTTTGCATGCAAATTTTCATTCCATGTCTAACCTAATTATGTGCGCCTAACGTCGGTTGGCATGGTGGTTGGTTTAATGAATGTAAAGCATGTTTTAAACGCTTCTTCAGCGTTTGCAACGGTGATTTCTATGAATGCGAGCAGGAGAGTGCGAAGTGCTGATTAGATACACACGCGGTGGGTCCACATACATACACGTAAATTTATTATTTGATGTGTGCAAGGGCGGAATGAAAATCGTGTGCGGGAGTCGACAAACGACGCCGGTCATAAAAAAATCACATTATTTAATCATACAAAAGTCAGCGGAAATTATTAGCTGACAGTGACACACACACACACACACACGTGTGCACTATTTCGCGCACAATTTCTTTTTTCTTTCGGAAAAAATGGAACAAGAGTCAAGTGCGAATCATACGTATTAATAAATAAAAATGCCATTGCACAGAGAATTTCTGGTTCATGGTTCATTTCCATGATTGTTGGTGAAATGTGCGGCGAAAAAAAAACACTGCGTTCTCTAAAAAAACCACTCGGCGCTTTCCCAACCGAAATTCCTTGTGAGCAAATGAAATTGTCAATAAGGAAGTTATATTGCGATAAATTCCGCTTTTTTGCTTCTTTCTCTTTTTCTCTCTCGTTGTTCGTTCGTAACGTTAAGATAGGAGAGATTTGTTTTCGGTTTTTGATTGGATTACGAACGAGACGATTCTGATTTTCGTGGAAAAGTATGTTTTCCACCAAACAAAAGCATTTTAACGTTGAGAGACTTTTGTTGGAATGTAAACAGCGTGTAATACACCCCATACACGCCATGTTTGGGTGCTTCAGTGTGTATAAACGTCTGAGTCTAAATGGCAAAATTGATGTGTACACTTTTTGCGATAGCAAAGTGGCAGCAAATTCGATATGTTTATACTAAACACGGTCGATTGAAAGACCTAAAAATGGGCTAGATAGTATTTTTGTTTTCATACTTGGACACTTTTTTGGTGTATTTTTCTTCGCCTTTTTTTTTCTTTCGGTGTCAGTTTCTCCCAAATGACTATTCATCAACAAATACAAACACACATTGGACACTTTAGCAAAAGTGCTTTTTGAAGGAACGAAAGAGCGTACGAACCGAAGAACGAACACGATAACAAGAACGAATTCAGTAACAGCAACAACAAGAATCAAACATCAAGAAAAACGAAACAACAAGATTTATGTTTGTTCTCACCCGCTCCCTATTTTCCATGTTTCACTTCGTGATATCTACACTTAACATGAGCAAATAAGCTTTGCAACTTGGAAGTTCTATCGATGACACTGGCCGATGTGTTGTTGTGGCCTGGTGGCATAGATACCAACCGACAGTGCGATAGAATTTTATCGAAAATATCGGAAAAATATTTACGAGCTAGATAAATTTTACTTAAGAGTTAAAACCACATAAAGCACGCATTATGTGAGTATACGATATTTGAGAGTCGTGTTGCGGTTGATAAATTTCGCATACAATGTCATTTCATAAATGGGTGCAATTTTTTCTTCTCCTTCTTTGGTACCGCATGGAATTCATTTCTCACGACAAAGTGTATATAACACATCGTCTGATGTGTATGATTCATCGACAACTAGTGGCAAAATTATGGCAACCAAATATGTATACATTTCCTAAATGAAATTGATATCGTACGGATGGATCTTTAACTTGATTAGATTGTTTTCCCTTCTCTTTTGTAAATAAAAACCTCCGATGTGGGGCTTGAAACTCATTTCCATTCGAATGGGAAAATGCTGATGCAGACGAATGTTTTATGCGTAATTTATTATTAAAAAAAAAACCAAAAGTATAAATTGCTTTCAATTGGAAGCTTTCTATAGATCGAAAGGTTAGGTAAATATTTGTTTTTTTCTTTCTTGCAGCGGATCACAACACAATCTTCATGTGGAAAATTACAATGGCCATGGTTACGCCAAGAAAGTGCACAACAATAGCCCGACCACGCAGAAAAAGAATATGGTGAGCAAAAAAAGCAGTCAATTTACAGTCTGAGGAGGTTTGTTTTGTTCAACTCTGGTTTTTTTTCTTTGGCCAATGAATTTCAATGGGGAAATTTGCTTTTATAAACAAACCCCAGAAAAATTGCTTTTTTAAATCGTCTATTTGGATACGTCAAACGTCGACTGGTAACGTCATAAAATAATCCAAGTAAACAACCATTTACTTGTTTCTATGAAAAGTCTCAAGTATAAACGAAATAAAATGCCTAAAGTGAACAATTCAACGCAAACTCTACCGCGAGCAGCACAGCTTGATTGCAGCGGTATTTTGTCAGCAGCCTAATACTAAATTGTTTATTCTATTGATTTTCACGTAGCAGGTGACGTTAACAAATCTTCCGAAATGGCCTCCAGTTGATGTAGCCTTCAACGATATTAAGTTCTCCGTGTCAGAAGGAAGACGACGAAGCGGATATAAAACAATATTGAAAGGCGTCAGCGGATTATTTCGTTCCGGTGAACTGACTGCAATTATGGGACCGAGTAAGCAATATTTTACTTTGTATTCAATATGATGTATATGCGAGACACACTCTCACACATTTTAATACGATTTAATTTCCATTTTAAAGGCGGGTCCGGAAAATCAACACTGTGTAACATCTTGGCTGGATATAGGTTGGCAATTTAATCTGTATTCATTTCACATCTATTTTGCATAAGATAGATTTTGCTTATTTTCTATCCAATTTTCATATTTTCCATACTTTTTTCGGAATTTCATTTATTTTCTCGTTAAGTTTCATTGATGTTCGTATTTGTTTGATGTTTTTGCCTATCGTTGTTGCTATTCCTTTATTTAAAAACGTTTTTTTTTTCATCAATTCGCAAACTTTCCCATATTTTATTCATTTCTCAAACTTTTTTCTCCTTTATTTTTCAAAACGTTCATATTTTCTATTCTACATTTCCATTCCAGGACATCGAATGTAAACGGTACGGTGTTCATCAATGGCAAAGAGCGAAACTTGCGTCGATTTCGTAAGCTATCCAGTTATATCATGCAAGACGATTGTTTAATGCCCCAACTAAGTGTCAAAGAAGCCATGCTGATATCGGCGAATTTAAAATTGGGCAAAGAAATGTCAATCGAAGCGAAAAAGTTGGTGGTTACAGAGATTTTGGAGGCATTAGGTTTAAGTGAATCGATCAGTACGCGAACAGTGGATTTGTCTGGTGGTCAACGTAAGCGTCTATCAATCGCATTGGAATTGGTCAACAATCCGCCGGTGATGTTTTTCGATGAGCCAACATCGGGTTTGGATAGTTCATCGTGTTTTCAATTGCTGTCGCTGTTACAGACATTGGCTCAAGGTGGACGAACCATTGTTTGTACGATTCATCAGCCGTCAGCGCGTCTATTTGAGAAATTTGATCATTTATACATGTTGGCCGAAGGTCAATGCATATATCAAGGGCGTGTAGGTGGTTTAGTGCCGTTCCTTGCCTCATTCGGTTATGTCTGTCCATCGTATCACAACCCCGCCGATTACGGTAAGCCAAACCATTTCATACAAAAAAGCGAAGAAAAAAAAATCAATTTGAAAAATGCGAATTCGGTTCAATCAAATTTTTCTTGGAATCATTTCAGTGATGGAAGTTGCAAGCGGTGAATACGGTGATGCGGTGCCAACACTAGTGATGGCTGTAAATACATACAAAAATGCAAACGCCGTGCTATTGACGGAGAATGAGATCGGCATCCAATTACAAGGAATATCAAGCGTATCAAAAAACATTGCCAACGATATCAGCAAAGCAAAGAATGACAAAGCCAAAATTCGAACATCCATATCGGCCGCACGAACACAAGACGATTTGACATATTCAAAACATAGTAACGTTGACCATACATTGATTAATTTATCGAATAACGACGATTCATCGTCACAGAATAAAGTGTCGAATGAAGTGTGCACGACATCGCTGCTGGATTCACACGACAGTGTTGTTACATTACCGAATAAGCACACATTTCCCACATCGAGCTGGAAACAATTTTGGATTCTGTTGAAACGTGCATTCAAAACCATTTTGCGTGACAAACAATTGATGCACATGCGTTTGGCGGCTCATGTGATTGTCGGCACGATCATCGGCATGATTTATTATGACATTGGCGGCGAAGCCAGCAAAGTCTACGATAATCTCGGTTGCACATTCTTTACCATGCTCTTCACCATGTTCACCGGAATGATGCCAACGATTTTGACATGTATTTAAACCGTTAGATTGAATTACCCTCATGATATTAACTTTTTGTTTATTTTTTGTGTACAATTTTCAGTTCCACAAGAAATGGGAGTCTTTGTTAGGGAGCATTTGAATTACTGGTATTCATTGAAAGCATTTTATTTTGCCAAAACTGTTGCCGATATGCCATTCCAAGTAAATACTACACTTAAACATTAATTTGAGCAATTGTTAATCGAATTTGAAGTGAAAATTGATAGAGCCACCCATGAAATTATAAGCTCAATGTTCAAATAACAACCATTTTTTTCATCTCAGCTTTTATTTTCCGGAGTATACGTGATAACGGTGTATTACTTGACGTCGCAGCCTATGGAATTACAACGGATATCAATGTTTGTGTGCATTTGCGTCTTAACATCTCTGGTGTCGCAGAGTCTTGGATTGCTTATTGGCGCCGGGCTAAGTGTTGAGAGTGGTGTGTTTATTGGTCCAGTCGCAACCATACCGACCATTTTGTTCTCAGGATTCTTCGTCACATTCGACACCATCCCCAGCTACTTGAAATGGCTCACCTATGTCAGTTACTCGCGATATGGCTTTGAAGGTATAAATTTCAAAATGATTAGAAAACTGGATTCAAATCGGCTTGAAAAAAAAAATACTTCCAAGCTGATGAATCGCTTCGAAGTTTACTGAAAAAAACATTTTTTCAACCAAAATTTATCCAAAAATTTGTCTTTCGCATTCCAGGAGCGGTGCTGTCAATCTACCAAGGTCGGGAAAGACTGAAATGTTCACAAATGTACTGTCATCATCGTGATCCGAAAAAAATTCTCGATATGCTATACATGACCGATGCAGAGTACTGGATCGATGTGGTGGCATTAACCACAATTTTCATCGGCCTTCGTATCATCGCCTACTTTGTGCTGCGTTGGAAAATCTACTCAATTCGATAAATCGTTCCATTTCACATCACCAATTTTCATCGTTCAACAATATATTATTTTATGCCCCGTGTCCTTTTTTAAGTCACAATGTGCGATGCAATCAGGCGCTGTGCAATTATTTTATTACATGTGTAACGAAGGGAATGAAGAACCTTGTATCTGTGTAATCTTTTAATTTTAAATATGTGTTTTTTTCTTCTTTGGTTTGTCTAAATAGCTATGGTTTCTATTTTACGATACATTGGTGTGCTTAGAATAAGTAATAACTACTTATTTTGTACTGCTTCAATTATTTAGGTTAGTTCAATGGATAAATGGTTCAATACATTTTTTCCGGTGTAAAAGTGAGAAATAAGAGAGTGTAATAAGCCAGACATTTGCCAAAATTTCAAGCATTTTTATTTATTGCCAAGAAAATCGTATTTTAGGTTCTGTTTTTTTTTGTTCGTCCGCGTGAACGACGATTGATATAGACAATATTGTAGTTGTTTAGAAAGGAAAACATTTGGATGACAAATTTCAATCAGGATGATGTTTTAGTATTTCATAATTTGTATAGAATCTCAACGGATACTCACTCGTTATCACTGCAGATAATGACTGTTTGAACAATTATTATCGATCGAATGGGAGAATTGGACCTAACATGATTCAATTTGCATCCATTGTTAATTTTGTCCACGCTGTGAGTGTTGCATGCGACTGGATGTTGACAATTCTAAAATGATATGCGATTCGATTAGATTAGCCTAAACTAATGTATGTATCAACAGCCGAAACTCAATAGTAGAACACGCTACATTTCCGCACACATGTCAATCGATTCATTTTTTTCATTCAGTTCAGCCAATTCCGATTCTAATGATTAACGATTAAAATTTGTCAATTTCGGTTCTAACAACAATAGACAGTTAAAATAATATTAAATCTAAAGAAATCGAATGGGCAGCTCAAATGCTTATAATCAAATTTTTACAAACACAACTGATGGATCATCTTATGAATTAATTTGACCAACAGACAAATCTTTTGAAACGAATCGAAAATGAGAGAGATTCTGTGATTCAAAATAATACAACTTATGATGTAATTAATATTAATTGATTATATTATCAAAACACAAATACATAACAAAGCGACAGAATTATTATTACTCAAAGTGTACTAACAACTGAACCCCAAAATCGTTTTAACCGACCGAGAAAGTTAACACAAAAATAAAGATGGACAAAAAATGAACAATTGAATAGGAATAACCACAACAAAATAGATGTTTTTACTGTAATATTTAGCGTATAGTAAGGCGGATTATTTGTATGAATACAAAATAGAACGGTGTATTTGACCACCAAAATGCTCAAGAGATATAAAGCTTAAACGGAAAACACCTGTCATGGCATATGTTATGTTGTAAGCCTGTAATTTCCCAGCTCCAACTCATAAATAAACTCAGTCTTAGTCATCCAGTTAGAATGGAATCTCTCCCCAGTCGAAGTGTTTGCATTTGCAAAACATTCAAATAAAATAGTGCGCATTAAATCATTTCCGATTTTGCCTTGGATCAACTCAACCATATTATGGAATTATAAGTACATTTTTAAACATTCTCAAAAACCCTTTTTTGTCCCACAATATTTTCGATCAATTTTTCGCCTCAAATTCAATTAAAACCAACTGCAGAAAATTATACAAAGGAAACTACACAAAAAAACGACCAATTGAAAAATCAATCAGACTCTCAGTTCATTGACCGATAAGATTAGAAAAAAAAGAAGATAAAACCTCTCGAAACAAAATCATCAAGATAAAAGAAATAAATCATGACAAACAAGTGATTTCGTCGGAACAAACCAATTTCAAATTTCGTTAGTAATTAAATACAAAATTTATATGTAAATTTTTAGTATTAATGACAAAATGGTAAAATAAAAAAAAGAAAAGAAAAAAACAGAAAAAAACAACAACAATTATATTTTTTTCTCCGCATTAATTTTGCAGTAGAACTTTTTCAGGGGAGTCGTTCACTATGTCAACCAATTGAATTTAATGTTGAATACATTAGTCAATGCTTGTTTGTTTTCTTGATTTAATATGCTCAGAAGGATTGTATAAAACATAATAGTTTTTTTAGTTTTGTTATTTTGCTTTACATTTTGAGAGAATTTTCTTATTCTGGTCAAATATATTCGATAGCTTATTTCAAAGCTATCGCAATCATCATTCGATTTTCAAAATATCGAACGGTAAGTGTAATTAGCAAGTGAGAATTTTGTTGGAAGAAATTTATTTACGGTCGCCTTGATTTGATTTGATTTGATTCGATTGTCAATCGTTTGAATCTCAGTTTCTTCTCAATAGTTCAAATTCGATATTTCTGAAATATCAAGAAAGTTTCATATAGTTACAATCGAAAAAAATATCACCAAAGCTGTCCAACATACTTAAGTGTAGCATAATAACGTCGGAAATTAGTCGCCTGGCTTCTGTTCACATTACTTACATTCTTTGATCATGCTTTCTCTTCCATTGTCAATAAATATTTAGTAACTCATTTATGTAGTATAAATGACATCACTAAATCATGCCGAATTTTCGATTCAAATGACCATGATCTCAAAATGGTTTTAAATAAATTTGGTAATGTGATTTTCTCTTTAGCAAGAATTTTAACCGATATTTTTGAATTGAACTCTGAAGTTGCTCAGAAGAGAGCAACTAACCGCGATGAAGTGTATACCTTTGACATCGTTGCGAACTCAACGAAATGTCACCAACGTATACAGCAAGCATTTGCATAGTAGCAGTAATCAGCTTGCATTTGTTTAACCTGCAGACATCTTGATAGACGATAGACAAAAAAACGATTCCATTTCAGCGGAAAAAGCAACGACGAACAGGTAAGAGTTGAACATTTTTCATTTATTTTGATGTTAACCTCAGAATGTTCTACAATTCTGTCCCAAATGTGACAATTAAATTGAATTTTCATAAAAGTTGATGATAAATAATTTCTGCGGCACAAATTAATGCGCATATTCTCTATGCGTTTTTTCCTTTGTTACACACGCGTGAAACATGTGCATTTAGTCGATTTTCTTTTTGATTTGTAATTTTCGATGTTTCTCTTGAATTCAACAGATAATGAATTTGTTCAAAGGTGTTTCTGATAGATGCTGTAAGCGCAAGCCAAAGTCGAAAAAAGTTGAAGTCAAACAAGAGCCTGTCATTAAGGAGGAACCCAATGAAGATGATGGTGTCTCTTACATATCGCGGCCGAGAATTGATGGACAATATCGAGCGAATTATGAAGGACCGGCGGACTTTGCATGTGACTTCGATGGGATAAAGAATGAGATCAAATGCGAAGAAAGCGAGAAGATGGGCAAAGAAAAGGACTCGGCATCATTTGAACGATCGAACGAGAACACCGCCAATGATGATGACAACGAGAACGAGTTGGGTGACGCAATCGACGTACAACTACCGAGAACCTCCGGCAGTGGAAGAAAACGGAATGGAAACGCCAAAAAACAAAACAAACGAACGATTCCCAGGAATCAAGCGGCCAAGAAGCAGAAGAAACACAAATGCCATGTGTGCAATTATTTGACAAGTGACAAGACTCATCTCATGATACACTTGAGAACTCATACGGGAGAAAAGCCATTTCAGTGTGAAGTTTGTTTGAAGTCCTTTCCACGAAAATTCAATCTGAACAGTCATAAGAAAACGCATGACCGATTTCGCTGTTCAAAATGTAAGCAAGGATTTGAACAAGAAACAGCCAAGATCGCTCATGAACGATTATGCAATCCCTGTCAATTTGAATGCGATATTTGCGGACATCAGACTGTGGTGAAATCATATTTGACAGTTCATATGCAGATTCACACCGGGGAAAAGCCATTCGAATGCTCAATTTGTTTCAAGTCGTTTGCAAGAAACACTTTTCTCCGACGTCATTCAATGGCGCACAAAGCTGAACTGCCGAATGCTTGTTCGAAGTGTGGTCGAAGATTCGCCACTCCGAAAGATAAGCAAACACATGAATCGGGTTGTCAACGTAAATCGATGAGATGCGCAATTTGCAGCAAACAATTCGTCCGACATGATCATTTAAATCAGCATTTATCATCAAAACACAGCGATCAGTTCCCATTTCAATGCTCCAAGTGCTTCGGAGGATACGCAAACGAAGCTGCAAAAGAGCTTCATGAAGATAGCTGTGGCTGCCGTAAGTATCAATGCCATTTATGCAAAGAACATTCTCGTTCCAAACAAGTGTTGAAGATTCACATGCAAAAAGATCACACCGGAGAGCGGATTCAATGCACGGTGTGTGCAGCAAGCTTTGCCAGTGAAAGTAACGCCAATAAACACATGAAAGCAGTTCATCGTTTGAAAAAGTGATAAATCACGCATCGCTAATGCGCACAGACGTCCTCGTTTCAGTAGGACAGTCCTCGTTTTTGAGAACGATCCTCGCGTCCTCCGCGATTTTCAAAATCAGTCAAAATGTCCTCGTTTTTAACGAATGAAAAAAATATTAAAATTTCACCTTAAAAACGGTAAAATACGAAAATCATTCTTCAAAATGAACAGCTAAATTCGGATAACACACTTTTTCGCTTAATCAGCTACTTTCTTGACCTTGATATTTGCGACTTAGTTCTCATTTTGGCTATTAAAGTATTATTTATTTGACAACAAGTGCAAACATTTTCTCATGTTCATTGTTCCATTTGCAATAGCATAGGCAGTGAAAACAGTATTTATTGCCGGTTGCATTTTCTTTATTCTGCTATACACACTAAGAAACAAAAATAAACTATCATTCGATAATCAAGACAATCGAAACCTTGTCGTTTAAAAATTTTAATCTCTGTTTCGATCGCTTTGAAAAACTGGCGACAGTTCTTTCTAGAAAGTGAGTAGTAAGCGATAATGAATATGAATCACTAAGGATTATAAAGTCGCTATTGATTGGATTTGCTTGGTAACGCAATTCTCGCAAAATTCACTTTTGAAAATTGCTACTGAAAACAGCTGGTCGAAATGCATCACGATGAAATGAAACGATTGTTTATCCAAATAAACAATTTTGATTGGTAAGTTTAACGAAAACGACATGATTTGTTTATGTCTACAGTTTGTTTTTATGCATTTACGTTCCGAGAAAAAATCAGTAATAATTTTAATTATCGATGGGCGCAAAATGACGAATGGTTTCAATAAATGTGTTCACATTTTGCAAATCGGTATTGATTCGACGTTGAACTTGTTAACTCGAACGACATGCCAGACGGAAAAAAATCATTCAACCCAAAATGGTTGCAAACGTATTCGTGGGTTGAATCCGTGTCAAACGACAATTTTAAAGCACATTGCAAACTCTGCAGAAAACAAATTTCAGTGGCTTCAAAAGGTGTGACCGCTCTCAAAGAGCATGCTGAAAGTGCGAAACATAAAGAGGCAGAAAGAGCAGTAGCCAGCTCTCATTCCGTGCAACGATTCTATTCACGTACATTTTCGATTGATTTTTCTGTAATATTTCGTATTTGAAATGTTGTTTTCATTATCTCTTCAGCGGCAAATGAAGTTGACATCAAAGTCGCAGCACAAGAAGCTGTCTCGGTATATCATATGGTTCAAGAAAATCATAGCTTCCGTTCGGCAATTTGCAATTCAAAACTGATTCAAACGATCTACGGTGATAACCCAAAGTTTACCTGCTCCCAAACTAAAGCACATGCCATAATGATTAGTAAAATGAAATTACAATTTAATCAAAGTCAATCATCACAACTGATGCCTCAAACCATACCAACATAAAGATGCTTCCAATGGTCGCACGGTATTTTTCGATTGAAAGTGGTGTGTCGAACAAAGTAATTGAAACCGTCGATTTGCGTGATGAAAAAGTCGTAACTATGGGAAGTCAAATTGAACGCGCTTGCGAAAAATTCAATATTTCGGACCAAGTGACTGGTTTTGGTGAGGATAATGCAAAGGTGAATTTTGGTGGAATAACCAGAGGTGGAAACAACAACGTCTTCGCTTTAATGCGCGATTAATTTAAAAATTGTTCTCACGGTTTTGGCTGCAACGCCCATATAACACATAACACGGTGGATTACGCAGTCAGTAATATTGAACTATTCGATGTGGAGGCAATTTTCGTTAAAATATACAAGCATTTTGCACAACACACCGTTCGTTTTACTCGATTGAAAGATATTTGTGACGATGCGAGCATCAAATACGAGAAGCTTTTAGGATATGGATCCACACGTTTTCTTGCATTCAAAGGATGCATTGACAGAATAATTTCACAATTTGAAGCGTTGAAAATGTATTTCACAGATCCAGATGAAAAAACATCGCCACCAAAATTACGACAATTTTTCGAATGTTCATTTGCCAAGCTGTTGCTCATATTCATCAGAGATCAGTGTCACATCTTCGAGGATTCCATCAAACGGCTTGAAGGCGATGTTGTGACAGCATTTGATGCTCTTGAAATAATGTCTCAATTGAAATTAGTTGTTGAAGGTCGATTGAAAGATAAATTTCGTTCATCTGCATTTCGTGATGAGATGGAAATGATAAGAGAATTTCTTCCGTGCGAATCTCGATTTTGAAGAAAAAGCGCAAAAACGTCCAAATGGAGATTGATGATGAGGACTTAAATGACATTTTTGAAGAATTTTACAGCGATTGTATCGAATATTTATCGTTATACATTGAACCATTGCTCCCAATAAAAATTTGGTCGTGGGCTTCTTTGCGAAAGGTACCCGAATGGGAAGACGTTCA